ATATGTGTTGGAAGTTTTTCCAAGCTTGATGTAATCAAGCATCGCACGCTCCCTGTACCATCGAGATTGGTGTTTGCATTGAGCATAGACATGATTGGATTATGTCTATCGCAATACGGTTATTCATTTAAGGAGAATAATGGTTACTCTGTTTATTTGAATAATACCTTCAATGGTCTTGCACCTAAAATGAATGGTTTATTGAATCTCGATCATAGTGATACACATGTTCATGCCAAAAGATATAAGATAGTAATGATAGTACCACACAAATGTGGCACTGCAATTTGAGTCATATCGGTATAAAACGCATGAAGAAGCTCCATGTTGATGAATCTTTGGGCTCACTCGTTTTTGAAAAGTTTGAGACATGCGAACCATGTCTATTGATGTATATGCATGAAGAAACTCCATGCAAATGGACCGTTTGGACTCACTTGATTTTGAATCACTTGAGACATGCAAATCATACCACATGGGCAAGATGACTGAAAGCCTCGTTTTCAGTAAAATGGAACTAGAAAGCAACTTGTTGGAAGTAATACATTTTGATGTGTGCAGTCCAATGAGTGCTGAGGCGTGTAGTGGATATCGTTATGTTCTTACTTCACAGATGATTTGAGTAGATGTTGAGTATATTTACTTGATGAATCACGAGTCTGAATTATTGAAAGGTTCAAGTAATTTCAGGGTGAAGTTGAAAGATCGTCGTGACAAGAGGATAAAAGATCTATGATATGATCATAGAGATGAATATCTGAATTACGAGTTTGGCACAGAATTAAGACATTGTGGAAATTGTTTCACAACTAATACAGCCTGGAACACCATAGTGTGATGGTGTGTCCGAACATCATAACTGCACCCTATTGGATATGATGCATACCATGATGTCTCTTATCGAATTACCACGATAGTTTATGGGTTAGGCATTAGAGACAACCACATTCACCTTAAATAGGGCACAACGTAATTCCGATGAGATGACACCATATGAACTATGGTTTAGAGAAACCTAAGCTGTCATTTCTTAAAAGTTTGGGGCTGCAACGCTTATGTGAAAAAGTTTCAGGCTGATAAGCTAGAACCCAAAGCGGATAAATGCATCTTCATAGGACAGCCAAAACAGTTGGGTATACCTCCTGTCTCAGATCCGAAAGCAATAAGGGATTGTTTCTAGAATTGGGTCCTTTCTCGAGGAAAAGTTTCTCTCGAAAGAATTGAGTGGGAGGATGGTGGAGACTTGATGAGGTTATTGAACCGTCACTTCAACTAGTGTATAGCAGGGCACAAAGAGTTGTTCCTGTGGCACCTACACCAATTGAAGTGGAAGCTTATGATATTGATCATGAGACTTCGGATCAAGTCACTCCCAAACCTCGTAGGATGACAAGGATGCGTACTACTTTAGAGTGGTACGTAATCCTGTCTTGAAAGTCATGTTGCTAGACAACAATGAACCTACGAGCTATGGAGAAGCGATGATGGGCCTGCATTCCAAAATGGCTCGAGGCCATAAAATCCGAGAGAGGATCCATGTATGAAAACAAAGTGTAGACTTTGGCAGAACGGCTCGATGGTCGTAAGGCTGTTGAGTATAGATGGATTTTGAAAGGAAGACGGACAATGATGGTAAATGTCACCATTAAGAAAGCTCGACTTGTCGTTAAGATGTTTCCCGACAAGTTCAAGGAGTTGACTATGGTGAGACTTTCACACTCGTAGCGATGCTAAGAGTCTGTTGGAATTATATTAGCAGTCACTGCATTATTTATGAAATCTTGCAGATAGGATGTCAAAAACCATTGTTTCCTCACGATTTTCTTGAGGAAAGGTTGTATGTGATACAACCAGAAGTTTTTAACAATCCTGAAGGATGCTAACAAGTATGCAAAGCTCTAACAATCCTTCTAAGGACTGGAGTAAGCATCTCAGAGTTGGAATATACGCTTTGATGATGATCAAAGATTTTGGGTTTATACAAAGTTTATGAGAAACTTGTATTTCCAAAGAAGTGAGTGGGAGCACTATAGAATTTCTGATGAGTATATGTTGTTGACATATTGTTGATCAGAAATGACGTAGAATTTCTGGAAAGCATATAGGGTTATTTGGAAGGTGTTTTCAATGGAAAGCCTGGATTAAGCTACTTGAACATTCAGCATCAAGATCTATATGGATAGATCAAAACGCTTAATGGTATTTTCAAATGAGCACATACCTTGACATGATCTTGAAGGTGTTCAAGATGGATCAGTCAAAGAAGGAGTTCTTGCCTGAGTTGTAAGGTATGAAGTTAAGACTTAAAGCTCGACCACGGCAGAAGAAAGAGGAAGGACGAAGGTCGTCCCCTATGCTTTTGTCATAGGCTCCATACGATATGCCATGCTGAGTACCACACCTGATGTGTGCCTTGCCACATATTTGGCAAGAGGGTACAAAGGTGATCTAGGAGTAGATCACCAGATAGCGGTCTAAATTATCCTTAGAGGAATAAGGATATGTTTCTCTGTTATGGAGGTGATAAAGAGTTCGACGTAAAGAGTTACGTCGATGCAAGCTTAACACCTATCCGGATAGCTCTGAGTAGAGATACCGGATACGTATAATGGAGCAACAATTTAGAATAGCTCCAAGTAGAACAGTTATTTGAAATGGCTCCAAATGTAGCGTAGTAGTTGCATCTACAAGATGACATGGAAATTTGCGAAGTACATACGGATCTGAATGTTGCATACCCGTTGACTGAAACCTCTCTCACAAGCATAACATGATCAAACCCAGAACTCTTTGGGTGTTAGTCACATGGGGATGTGACCTTGAGTGTTAATCACATATCGATGAGAACTGGATTATTGACTCTAGTGCAAGTGGGAGACTGTTGGAAATATGCCCTAGAGGCAATAATAAATTGGTTATTATTATATTTCCTTGTTCATGATAATCGTTTATTATCCATGCTAGAATTGTATTGATAGGAAACTCAGATACATGTGTGGATACATAGACAACACCATGTCCCTAGTAAGCCTCTAGTTGACTAGCTCGTTGATCAATAGATGGTTACTGTTTCCTGACCATGGACATTGGATGTCATTGATAACGCGATCACATCATTAGGAGAATGATGTGATGGACAAGACCCAATCCTAAGCCTAGCACAAGATCATGTAGTTCGTATGCTATAGCTTTTCTAATATCAAGTATCTTTTCCTTAGACCATGAGATTGTGCAACTCCTGGATACCGTAGGAGTGCTTTGGGTGTGCCGAACATCACAACGTAACTGGGTGGCTATAAAGGTACACTACAGGTATCTCCGAAAGTGTCTGTTGGGTTGGCACGAATCGAGACTGGGATTTGTCACTCCGTGTAAACGGAGAGGTATCTCTGGGCCCACTCGGTAGGACATCATCATAATGTGCACAATGTGATCAAGGAGTTGATCACGTGATGATGTGTTACGGAACGAGTAAAGAGACTTGCCGGTAACGAGATTGAACAAGGTATCGGGATACCGACGATCGAATCTCGGGCAAGTATCGTACCGCTAGACAAAGGGAATTGTATACGGGATTGATTAAGTCCTTGACATCGTGGTTCATCCGATGAGATCACCGTGGAACATGTGGGAGCCAACATGGGTATCTAGATCCCGCTGTTGGTTATTAACTGGAGAGTTATCTCGGTCATGTCTGCATGGTTCCCGAACCCGTAGGGTCTACACACTTAGGTGTTGTTTGGATAGCGGTGATTAGCGTTAGGATTATAGAAAACGAGTTTTTAGCTGATTTTTAGGAAACCCCGTTTTACGTTACGTTTTGTAAATAACGAGTTTATAGAAAGTTACGTTTGGATAGGAAAACAGAAAAATTGGTCGGTCATGTACCTTGTTTGGATACCCTCCTTTTCTCCTCCCGTGACTCACTCTCACTTTCCCCAAATCAGCCACAATGGCGTCTTCCAAGTCTATCGTCCTGCTGGTCCCCTCTGATTCCTCCTCCGCTCGCTGACACCGGTACTCCCCTGCTCTCGGCCGTGGATGAATCCTCGCAAGGACGCCGGCTAGTGCGCGCCTCCGGCCACGCCGGTTGCTGCTGGACTCCCCGACGCCGCTGCCCGCCTCCCCTCCCCTGGACGGCTAGGTCGCTAAGGCCTACTGTGCTTCGTCGGCCGTCAGCCAGCTCTATCCGTCGAGCAGTGCTGCTTCAGCTCAACGCACATGCCTGGCTCCCTAGAATGCCGGCGGTCCAGGCTGCACTATAACCAGCCCGTTTTACCACTAGATCTGTGGGGCGCCGGCGGCAGCAGGCAGCTGTAGCCCCCGCTCCCTGACTAGCATGACCATGAGTAACAGCGGATGCAGAGGACAAGCTCGAGGATGGCGATTCAGAGGAGCAGCTATGTTTGATTTTTCTTTTTGCAAACTCTGTAGTTAACATGGTCTACCATGCACTTGCAGAGAGGAGCTATAATTATCTTTCTTTCATGGTCTGTATCATGCACTTGCCGACAGAAAAATACTTCATAAGTAACAGGCCTTAACAATTAGCTACATATACTGGAATTTGTATAATGGAACTTTGGAGGAGAGTGCTACTGTAGAAAGCAAAGTTAGAACTGGCAAGGTTCATGGTCTTTCTAAAAACAAGAAGTTTCAGGTGCGTTTGTAGCACTGAAAGCTGTCAAGCTTTGCACTTGGTACATTGTAGAATCTGATGCGTAGGTAGAATCTGGTGCGTTTGTAGCACTGAAAGCTGTCAAGCTTTACATAAGAACACACCCATTTGAACGAAGTAGTTTATTTGTTGCTTCATTTGCTGAATAGATTGGTGAAAAATAACATTTCATCATGTAGCCGTAAATAGAGAGAGGGAGAGAGAGAGTTCATAAGCCTATAAAAGAATGGGGAGTTCATGAACATATAAAGAAATTTAAAGTTCTAACAATAATTATTCAAATACATCTCTAATTAAAGATGGAAATCAAATATTACGGCGTTTAATCATCTTGTTGTTGTCGGTTCACACGTCGTTGATGATTAGTCCACAATTGTTGAGCGATGCCAGCACGAACTCTCTCACCAGCAACTCGATCATCTTCTCTTGCTTGCCCACGAACTTGTTGATCACCATAGTTAACATTTTCTTGTGTTTCCCCATGCTCATAAAGCTCAAACAACTCATCAGGCTCATTAACCTTCCTTATGAAGTTGTGGATGATGCAACAAGCCATAACAATTTTAACTTGGGTTCTATATGGATAAGGAATTCCTCCTTTCCTACTTAGAATTGGAAAACGAGCTTTCAGAACACCAAAGGTTCGTTCCACAATGTTCCGCAGCTGTGCATGCACATGGTTGAACAAATCCTTCTCACCAGTATATCTCCGATTACATCCACGAAAAGAAGCAATATGATAGCGATCTCCGCGATATGGGGCAATAAATTTTGGAGTATTTTCATAGCCTGAATCAACAAGATAAAATTTGCCTACAGATGAGGTTTCATAGCACAGTCAGAATTTTTATTTATATTATAGATACACAAATAATTAATATATTTATAATTTTACCTTCAGGAACAACCAAACCCCCACTAGTAACAGCCCATCTTAGAACAGCTTGATCCGATGCAGAACCCTCCCATCCAGCAGCGACATAAGAGAATGTCATGTCAAATGACACTGCTGCCATTACATTTTGAGACGGACAACCATGCCTATTTCTATAAGGAGTTTGCTTATCAAGCCTGATTTTCGCCTCAATGTGTGTCCCGTCAATTGCTCCTAGGCAGTTCTGGTGGGATTTTTTTTAGTCAAATAAGGATGTTCACATGTTGTGGACATTGTACTTATGAAAATCATATGTAAAAGGAGTATATTCTTCAAATAGAAATTATACCTTGAAATATGGGTAGAACCTTGCATCACCCAATATTTTGGATGGGACTTGATTGCTTGGATCTGTTATGCAAACATCACGCAAACCATTTATGGCGTCTAAAACTTTGTTGAAGTGTCGGCTGATTGGTTCGCCAGAATGCTGATATCTATCTTGCATGACACGGTTTCTAACATTGTGACCAATTGTATGTAAAAACATGAGTAGTTGTTCATCCACTGTCATTCGATTTGTATCCTTAAGTAACTTTCTCTCGCACAAAGCATCCCGCAACAAGAAGAATGTGTGCTTCTCAAGACGAATTAGTTCATAAAATCTAACTGGATGTCCCTCTAACAGCTCTATTGTTTTCTGAGCACCAGTTAATATAGACGTGTTACGAGTTGTTTTGAATAACCTTGTAAACAACACATCACGAAACAAGGACACTGCAGAAATGTTGTTAATAAGCACTTGCTCAGAGTCAGAAAGTTCATCATCTGGCACATCCAAGCTGTTCATAGTTCCCTGCACAATATACACTATTGATATCATCTCAGGATATTTGTTAAATATATCAGTGCTGAACCATCAAATGAACAATATAAAATTGAAAAAGAATGTTCATTATTTCACACAAGCTGATAAAACATAATGGAAATTGTTTTCTGAATCTACGACAACGACTGAAATAAAATACTATGGTCAATGGTGTATTACAAAAATTCTAAGGATCAAGAATCCAAAGCTTACGCGTCTCATCATCCATCTCAATGAATATGGCCCGTTTATCACCATCTGTAAATGCCTTGACCGCTTTTAGTTTCTCTTTGGGATCTAGATTACTCATACTATTTAATATTGCCATACATGATTTAACCGAGTAAGCTTCATTTTGTTGTGCTACTGTTTTCTTCGCTTCAGCAATGCTAAGTGATGCATCTGCAAGGCGGTCAATTGCTGATATGGCATCGTCGGCTGTCCGTTTTTGCCCTCTTCCAGTTTCTTTTGATCCACTTCCAGTGGACTTCTTTTTTTCTTGCTCAATGGTAGTTGACTTCTTCATGAAGACACCAGGGGAAGTATTGTTTTCATCAGAATCAATCTCATGAACTTCAACATCCATATTGAGATCAATCTGTGAAGATTTGCTTGTACATGCAGCATCTTTTCCTTTGCTAGATACAGCACCAGCTCCAGATGCTGTTGAAGTAGCACATATGGCTTGAAGATCTACCCAACTAGGCCACACCTTATCTCGATATTCCTGTAGTGACTTATCCTTCTGCAAGTTGTTTAGTTTTTGGTTAATACTATGATATGAGAACTTCATATGGATTCTACTCGCAATTCCTTACCTTAATTAGTTCTTCCCAAATTTCTTCTGAAGCTTTTATCATTTTATCATCATCGTCCCAACCAAATCCCGTGAGTTTTAGAAGTCTGTCCATGGTACTGTAGCAACTCCTGTAGTACTTATGACGATTTTTCAGTTGTTGTAATTCAAGTTTCTCTACCCTTGAATCGTTGAACTGTCCTAAGATATCACGCCATGCTTTCTTTGTGTAACCTGTTCCTTCTTTCCCTCCCTGTAGACTTTGATCTTTCAATATATTGAGTAGTATTTTGTCCTCTGAAGATTTCCATACATGGCGCTTAGCTTTATCTGTGTTTTCCTTCCTAATTATTTTGTCCTTCTCATCATCCATATTTTTCTACAGGGAGATACAAGAAGAAATAATGCAAGATGAGTCATTTTGTTCATTACGATAAATCTACGAAGTGGAAGAAAATGAGCATGCCACTAATATTTCGATCTTTTGAGGGGTAATCCTGTGGTCGTTGTACACAAATGGGAGTCTAGGAGTGAACTAATCTTTTGTTTAAAGTGTGACTGGACACTTCAATTTTTGTCGCATGTTCGCCTAATGGGATGTTCCCTGACCAGTTACTTTGCTGGGTTGCAGCCAAGATCTCAAGCATGAAGTTCATTTACTATAAAGCTGGGCTAGGTTTCCCCACTTATTGCTGCAACTTCACATTGGACATCACAAGGTACTCTGATCTTCATTTGCTTACTTCATAGCTCTTACCATACACTATATAATATGGATAGATATGATTGATACTTATGCAAAATTATCCTTATACTATGATTTAAACTGCATCCTTCTCATGAAAAACTAACTACTGCACTTGGATATATATACTGATTGACAATATTATTGTGGTTTGGTGTTGGATTATTTTAATATGTATGTAGAGCACCCTGATTCTCGTATGTACCATAAATTCATATTTAGGAATTACCAGGTTATTGGATCTTGTATAATCTAGGAATTGACTAAATAAAATTATTAGGGGTTGTATGGAAAATAGGGTTCGCTGCCAATAGAATTAATTCAATGAACAGTAGCATGAACGTATTTACAAAAACAATTCGTACTGCAGAATTTTGTAACTCTAGATGGTTTATCTTACCGTGTAGGATGGGTGAAGCCATGAATCCTGATTGAAGACCGGAAGATGATGATGATAACAAGAGGTCGATGGAGGTGTGCAGTCCTATTGAAGATGGCCAAGTTCAGATCCAAAGGCGATGTATTCCATCCAATGCCTGTGGCCGGGGATCGCATCCAGCCTGTGCGATCTGTGTGGAGAACGCACCCTGCAGCCAACAAAATCCTGTTATATAGGCAATGGAAAAAGGCGGGAGGTGAGTCGCAGAAAGAAAAATTGGCGCCAATGCAGTTGTTCAGGAAAGGGCGGAGGCGGAGATGGACAGTTGCGATCTGTATTTGTTAATCGCGTTTGTGGAAAAACGACTAATACTCATTTTCCCACAAACCTGGAATTCTGGGCCTTTGTGAAACGAGTTTCCTATATGCATGGGTTAGTTGGAGGAGCCAAACAAGATTTTGTACGGTTAGGCCGTTTTTCTGGCTTATGGAGATCCCGATCTGTATGTTCCCCTTATCCAAACAATGCCTTAAGGTTCGATGACGCTAGGGTTATAAGGCATAGATATACATGGTTACCGAATGTTGTTCGGAGTCCCGGATGAGACCCCGGACATCACGAGGAGTTCCGGAATGGTCCGGAGGTAAAGATTTATATATGGGAAGTCCTGTTTTGGTCACCGAAAAAGTTTTGGGGTTTATCGGTAACGTACCGGGACCATCAGGAGGGTCCCGGGGGTCCACCAAGTGGGGCCACAAGCCCCGGAGGGCTTCATGGGCCAAGTGTGGGAGGGACCAGCCCCAGGTGGGCTGGTGCGCCCCCCCCACAAGGGCCCAAGGCGCCTAAGGGGAGGAAAGGGGCAAACCCTAAGGGCAGATGGGCCTTAGGGCCCATGCCTGGTGCGCCTCCCTCTCCCCCTCCACCTGGCCGCCACCCAGATGGGATCTGGGGGCTGCCACCACCCCTAGGGAGGGAACCCTAGGTGGGGGCGCAGCCCCTCCCCTCCCCCTATATATACTTGAGGTTTGGGCTGCCCAAGACACAAGAGTTCCTCTCCTTCTTGGCGCAGCCGTACCCCTCTCCCTCCTCGTCTCTTGCGGTGCTTGGCGAAGCCCTGCTAGAGTATCACGCTCCTCCACCACCACCACGCCGTCTTGCTGCTGTTGGATGGAGTCTTCCCCAACCTCTCCTTCTCCCCTTGCTGGATCAAGGCGTAGGAGACGTCACCGGGCTGTACGTGTGTTGAACACGGAGGTGTCGTCCGTTCGGCACTAGGATCATCGGTGATTTGGATCACGACGAGTATGACTCCATCAACCCAGTTCACTTGAATGCTTCCGCGTAGCGATCTACAAGGGTATGTAGATGCATTCTCCTTCCCCTCGTTGCTGGTCTCTCCATAGATAGATCTTGGTGACACGTAGGAAAATTTTGAATTTCTGCTACGTTCCCAACATGCTGCTACTTCCGCGCGGCCGGACATGTCGTCTGCTCTCGCAGCAAGGCGGGACATCTCTCGTGCTTTCGCTTCCATGCTCGCCTCTCCCTGGTGGCAATCTCTCAACCCAGAACTCACGCTGGCCATGGCAGACGCAAGGGAAGGATGCTGAATGACTTGTTTGTTTTTGTGGATGAGGAGTTGAGGAGGAATGTGCAGTCATCTTGGCATACTAGTATTTATAACCGAGTACTAATATGCTCCTAAGTGGGAAACCGTTTAGGTTGTGATCAGTGTGAACAGGTTTGCAATTCAATATACTTCCTCCGTCTAGGTGTGTAAGTCATCTTACGTTGTGCATCGCGGCCAAGGCGGAGAGGAAAACGAGAAAACTTAATGTCTTTTTGCTTATTAATAGCATTCCATGCAATGAACTAACCACTGCATGTTATGTTTGGTAGTCTCAAGTCATTGAAAGCATGCACAGCCCACATATCTTATTGGTTGATATGCCACAAAACAAAAAACTGAGAAGGGAGTTAATGTACGGTGCCTAAGTGTTTTGGGATTATTTGGTTTTCATAAGGTGACTTACACACCTAGACAGAGGGATTAGCGTGGAGTAATTTGGAATGTGACGAGACGCAAGCTCAAAATTTATTGACGGTTCTAGTTTCGGAGTGCGGCACTATTCCCAAATGGAGTACTTCTTTTTCTACTCCCTCCTTTCCGGTTTTATAGGGCTTATCTCAAAATTTTAGTTTTTCCATTTTATAAGGCTCAATTTGGTTGTTCCCAAACACATGTTCAGATTCCAAGGTGCATTAAATCATTGCATGCAAGTATTAAGAGAAAATTGACCAATGCATGTACTTTATGCATGCATGCATTGCAATTAATGCATTAAACCTATCTCTCGAGACTTCTCGCACGCACCATCGTGCCACCCACAAAAACTTGTACTCTGAGTTTAGTAGTACATTATACAGGAAGAGAAGAGGTGCACACACGCACTCGTCCTCTCACACGCGCGTCTGTTTTTCTCGAAAAGGAGGATGATGACCCCCGGCCTCTGCATCTGGGAGTCACACACACAAATTATTGAAATATATCGAGTGCAGTGCTTTGATGTGTCGCGTCAACTCGTACATCAACGAGAAGTTTGATTATCCTCTCCCTCGCGGACTTAACTGCATCTGCCTTTGGCTGTATGACAGGTTGGCCACACACCTATAGGGCCCACCTGTCATTCACGTAAAGGCAGGAGCGTCCCTCCCTCGCCCATGAGCGTGTTGGCTGGCAAGACTAGGAGAAGCTTTCGCTACACGCTCTCCCTCCCGCACGTGGTGGACATGTAGCAGTTCAATCGGTGTCAGATGGCCAGAAGCGTACTGTAGTACTCCTCCAGTGCAGTAGTATTCCATCATTGTTCGACTTCCCGAAGAGGCGAAAAGCCAAGCGCAGCCCGGACGCTCGTGTGGCAGTTTCATGTGTAGAGTTGTCTAGGATAGCGTGTACCGTGCCTGTAAGCTTAAAATCGTTGGGGTCGGCTCCATGCTATGTGGCCGTCTCGAAGTTTTTTTAAAAAATTAAAATAGTCTTCTGGCCCTACCCGAAAACTGCCACGCGTACTGCCCGGGAAAAGCCCCGCCCTCAACTTTTAACTACGCGAAAATAGTTTGAGCTTGTTCGTTCTATATAAATACAGTACTTACTATATGTTTATTCACCCGTGGGGTTGTTTAATGAATGGAGGGGCGGGGAGCACAAGTGAACAATATTGTAGTACTACTAGTAGTAAGTAGGAGTCGTACAGTAGTCACCTTAAATAGAGAGTTTCTTTTCTTTAATGCCACGTACACAAATTGAAACGCTTGTTGTGGAGAGAAAAAAGATAATCACTCCACTATATATGGATGCAGGGGCCTGAGCGCTTGCTTTACTAGGGTTGCTCTCTTCATTCTCTTATCCTCTCCAGATATAAACAAGACAGTGGTAGCGACATTTTCTCTCTGCTCACCGCTGGTCACAGATCCATCCGGATCCCTTCGGCCGATGTGTGTAGAGGACTAAAAGGTGCATCGTTCATGCAGTCATCGCCGCCGAGGGAGGAAACCCACAGCTGCCGGAGGGGTCTGATCCTCTGCCCGTGCCGTTCTCTCCGACACATGGCCGGCTTGGGAGGTCCTCTGACCCTTCTTCCTCCCTGTCGTATTGTCGTAGATCCGACCTGCCGCCGCCGACATCCCGACGACCCTCAGGTATAAGTTCTTCGAAAGCGGCCTTGCTCTACTGCCCCAGCTCCCCATGTGTCTGCATGTGCATCTTTTTCTACTCCCATCAGCTGTTCCAAAGCCACCTAAATTTTTAGTATTATTAGAGGTAAAGCTACTTCATGCATTCGAATCTAGGGCTTTGTTCAAACAACGAAGAAAGGGGGGAAAGTTGTAGCATGAATTTAGGACTTGATTCAAAGAGGAAATAATATGGTGAAAGTAGTAGAGACCGGATACCCAACCGGTCTCTTGGTTGAAAAGGAAATAATGGGAAAACACAGTACAAACTGGATAAGGAACAGATCTATTATTGGTTGAAAAAAGGATAGAAAGTGGCGGCTGGTGGACAAGTCAACAGAGTATGTCCAGGATTAGATTTGCTACCATCACATAGTAAAAGGTCTCCAGGATTAGATTTGCTGCCCTCACATAGTAAAAGGTCTCGGGATTAGATTTGCTGCCCTCACATAGTAAAAGGTCTCCAGGATTAGATTTGCTGCCCTCACATAGTAAAATATCTCTAGGATTAGATTTG